GCCGTGGCCCGCGCCGCAGGAGAAGACGCCGCCCGCGCTGGGAGCCGCGCTCAGATGGGGCCCCCGCCGCCGCAGCCCCAGGCGGCCGGGGACGGGGAGGAGACGCGGACCAGAGAGGGGACGGGAGGGGGACAGGGACAAGGACGGGGACGGGGAAGGGGGGAAGGAGGACGGGAACTGGGAGGGGGTCGCTGCTGCAGGGTGGACCCCGAGGTCTTGGGCTCTGAGCCCTGGGGCCGCGAAGGGGTCTCACTCCGCAGCCTGGGCAGCCGCAGTGGCCAGCTCTGATTCTTGGCGGGAATGTTTAGGGATACAGTTTCCCTCCATGTGTTGTTTTAACTGTGAGCCACAAATTAAGCATTCAATTTTTATCATTTCTGAATTTCCCATACAATTTTTTAAAGCTAATGTTACTTAGTTTGCAAACATACGGATTTTTTTGTTTTTTAATGAGACAAGGTCTCTTAGTTTAGACTGAACTTGAACTCACTATATAACCCAGGCTGGCCTCGAACTCAGGGCGATCCACCTGCCTCAGTCTTTCGAGTGCTGGAATTAGAGGCCTGCACCACCATGCCTGGCTAAACATAGAATTTTTAAATTTATTTTTTATTTTTTGTCTTTTTGAGACAGGGTCTCACTCTGCAGTTCAGGCTGCCCTTAAGCTCATTTTGTAGCCTAGGCTGGTCTTGAACTCAAAAGGATCCTACTGCCTCAGCCTCCCGAGTGCTGGGATTACAGACATGTGCCACTATGCCCGGTTTAACATATGGAATTTTAAAGTATGTTTTTGCTGTTAATTTTTCTTTTAGCTAGAGGACACACTCTGTATCATATTAACCTCTTGGAATTCTTTGTGGCTTCCTTCAGGCCCAGAATGTTTTCACAAATGTTCCCAGTATGTTCAAAAAGAATCACTTAAGTGTATTAATTTTATTATTGTCCAGGCAGAACTCTAACTTTCATCCTCTTTGCCTCAGCCTCCCTGAGTGCTGGGATTACTGGTGTGTGCCATTTATTTTTTAATCTGTTTGTTTACTGGTTTCTAAAAAGTTTTTTTTTTTCTTTTCTTTTTGAGACAGGGTGTCACTATGCAGTTCAGGCTGGCCTTGAACTCATTTTGTAGCCCAGACTGGTCTTAAACTCATGGCAATCCTCCTGCTTCAGCCTCCCAAGTGCTAGGATTACAGGTATGTGTCACCATACCTGGCGTTGTATTTTTTTTTTTAAATCTATTACAATTATTTTTTTCTGTCCTTCTATCAAGTGTTGCTTTATATATTTGAGATTATGTGATAGGGCACCTATTATTTAATGATGATTATTCTTTGTTTTGTCCAATGGAAAGCAAAGGAGGACAAAAGTCAAAATCTCATGCATATACACACACACATACACAAGCACACACACCCACCCCCAGCAGTGGCTCTAGTCTGGCTTACTCCCATTTCCAAGCAGACTCACCTTTCCCTTCCCAAGATCACTACAGGGATGGGCCCTGCAGGGCCATCGCAGGCTGGCCTCTTTTTCTTGTGGCTCCAGTAGATTACTAACTCTTGTGTCCTGGTGTCCTTTCTGTTCTGTGAGTGATAGTCTGAGCAGAATCGCTACATCTTCCTTTACTATTGCCTGGGCTATGCCATGCTGCCTGAGAATGCTAGTCAGCCTTCTTGGCCCTCAGAGTCCTAGCACAGAACCTACAGAAAGAGCAAACCACTTGGTCTGGTAGCTTTTAATCCCAGCCACATATAAAAATGAAATGGAGAGTTGTAACAATAATCAGTGTCTAAGGCTGCAGATGCAGCCCAGTGATACAGCTTGGGCTACTCTAACCTGGGTTGATCTTTAACGTGTGTGTGTGCGTGTGCACGCATGCGCACAGACACAGGCGCGTGCACACACAAACACACACACACACACACACACACACACACACACAGAGGGAACAAACAAAAAATATCTGGGTCAGCTGGGGATATAGCTCAGTGGCACATTGCCTGCCCGGAAAGTGCAAGGTCCTGAGTTTAAGTCCTGCTATGAAAAAAAATAAAAATACCTGGGTCTGCCCCACTCCTACCACAAGCTCTCCAGAAGGTCAAATGTGCAGCCAGCTGAAAGTCACAAGGTTTGCACAAGGCCCTCGCCAGAGGCCAAACCGTGGGGCTGTCCGCCCATCTCAGACGTTCCACCTTCAAGCCTGAGCTAAGTAAGCCCCTACTCATAAAGTCAGCCTGCCTACGGTAACAGAAGATGAGGCAATACACCAGCCATTTGAATTTTCCCAAAAGAACTCTCACACCCAGACGGAAATGACCTGTCAAGGCCAGACAGCTGGACTAGTTTTCAACTGTGGACTGATTTTCTCAGCTTTGTCTTACCTCAGTTATTCAATGATTTCAAACCAGGGTGTCCTGACTTATTTCTCTCTCACCCAATTATGCCTATAAGGACAAGACAGTGCCTTCTGTGTGAATATTTAATGTCCTTCCTTCTCCCCGCTCCGAGACAGGGTTTTACTGTGCTGCCCCAGCTCCTGCACTCCATGTCTTCCTGCCTCAGCCTTGCATGGCTGGGACCACAGCACCGGTCCAAGCCCGCCTCACACCACTCTTCCTTACGCAGCTTCCTCAACTAAACTGTGAATTCATTCTAAACAATACCTTCTGGGTCTCTGGCTACCTTCCCGCCCAAAAAGGTGTCACAACAGCCACCTTCAGGAACAGTGGAGAATGGGGAAAAGCCCCTTGATTCCAACCCTAGCCCCAGCATAAGCCTTCCTGGGTTTTCTGCATCTCCTCCCGGGCTCTCTGTGAAGTGAGTCAAGCCCCAGCTTCAGGATCCATGACTTTCACATGCTCTTCCCAAGGCCTCGGGAAAGGCTCCCCCAGCTCTTTAGTTACATTTTCTATTCTTTTTAAAGAGAGTCCACACACCCTCCTACTATATCTGCTTTAGTCTCCACAAAATTTGAAGCCGCTCTTCCCTGCCCTGTAATGTTGCTTTGGGAGCTCGTAAGATTCAGTTCATAAAGTGTATGGCATACAGTAGAAGCTCAATAAACATTACTTCTGTACAGAATGGTCCAGAAAAGATGATGTGCAGACACAACTATAGGCCAGTATGCTTAGTGCATGCCCCTTTAATGGCCACCCGGCAGCCCAGCCCCACTTGCAAGGGGCCTGGGGTCCAGAGACGCGCAGGACAGCTATGGCACTTGGTTCTGAGGGGAGCCGTCCTTGTCCCTGATGTGGCTGTGGATCCAGTCCAGGTAGCGACTAACTTTGGTGTAGACACCATAGTTGTTAGGGAGCCCACAGCCCTCACCCCAGCTTACCAGACCCACCAGGAACCAGGTGCCTTGGAAGGAGGCAACCATGGGCCCCCCACTGTCACCATCGCAGGCATCCCGCGTGTCCCCAAGGATGCCTGCACACAGCATGTTCTCTGAGATCACGTTCTTCATGACCTGGATGCACTCATTGTGAGGGGCCACAGGAATCCTGATGGAGTTGAGAACGGAAGTAAGGCTTCTCCTGGGATCTCCCTTCCGCTCAGACTGGTAGCCCCAGCCTGTCACCACTGTCTCCTGGCCGGCCTGAGTGAGCTCCCGCTCCGCAAGGCCACTGTCCGGGAGGCAGATGGGCACGATGGTCTTGGAGAGGACGGTGGGCTCGGCCAGGTGGAGCAGCGCAATGTCATTGTTGGTGGTGCTCCGGGTGTAGTTGGGGTGGATGAAGATTTCCTGGATGTCCAGCTCCACCTCCCCCTTGTCTCTGCGCCTCAGGTCATACTCACCTGCAAGGCAGAGGGCACCGTCAGAGTGGCCTGGCCAGGGCCCTCCAATGGCTGAGGGCCTGTGGGCCTTCTTGTGGCTTGGGCTGGGCCCACAGCTGGACTGTAGTCACAAGCTGCTGAGCTGTGCCTTGGATCCTTCTCAAGAGTGACTTTTCCTGACAGAAGGAATGGCCTATGGGTATCAACCTCCAAGGCACAGGATGTTTGTCTGGAGGCAGGACTCACAGAGGAACAGGGAGACCAGAGAAGCCCGGGCCCTGGGATATGTAGAACTACAGCTGGGCTGACAAGGGCAGGAGCAACAAGACCCACAGAGGGGGACCAACAGGACAGGGCACTGAGGGAGAAGAGCTGTCAGGACTACACGTGAGACACAGGTTCCTTCCAGCCCAGTGGGATGGTCCCTGGAAAACAGGGCATGGAAATCCCTCAACCGCCCGCGGGGCCCTGGCCACGGTTGTGCTGAAGAAGACTGTAACGCGTGAATCTGGACATGCTCAATGCACCTTCCTCTTCTTTTCTGCATGTGGAGTCTAATGAGGCCTCCCTCTAGAAACTGTCACAGTGTGGGGCCTCTGCCTGGTGACCCCCAGCCTGCTGAGGAAAGCAGCACCCCAGGGGGCTGAGGCTGCATGCAAGCAGGAGTGAGACTCCCAGGATGTGTGGCACCCCTCACACATGTGCCCGTGCCAACTGCAGCAGGCACCAGACAGGCCCTCCTGGCCTGGCTCACAGGCACCTAGGCTTGTTTCCCCACCTGTGTGGCACTGAGTTCCCGGTACCACAGTTTCCCAAACCCAACAGCCTGCCTGGCTGCCCCGCGCCACCCCAGCCTCTGACGGCCCCTCTGGCCTGGCTACAGCCCGCACCGAGCCTGACGCTGAGCTTCCGGGACTCATCCACGCAGTGGGCCGCAGTCAGCACCCAGGAGCTGTGGATCAGCACTCCGCCGCAGGCCAGCTTCCTCTTGGAGTCCATTAGCATCACCTGGAACGGCAACTGCGGCGTCACAGGGTGGACCCAACAGCGCCCAGCGCAGGTCCTGAGCCTGGGCTCAAGAGGGTCTGGGTCCCCAGCCACACGGGCCTCTCCGGCCCTTTTTGAGATGGAGCTCCTCCTTGCCTGGCCCTCCCGGCCACAGCCCACCTGCCCACACTACAGCCCCTGCCCCAAGGAGTCACCTCTCTTTCCCTGCTCACCCCCACTCGCCCCCACCTGCCCCCAGTAGCGGGGCACTTCTCTCCCCACCTGCCTTCAAGCAGGAACTACCAGGAGGCTCTGTGGCCCTGGCCCAGCAAGGGACAGGCTGCTCCACCTCTCCCCCACCTGCCAGGGGCTCTCTCCACGTCTGGTCTCAGTGCCGTTGACGATCCTTGGATCTAACTGTTCATCCTGATCTTCTTGCTCTACTTGGTCTGTGTCACGTTTGTAGTTGCTTCGTTTCTTCTCCACTAGCTTCTGTATCCTCCCACATGGGAACATCACTGAACAGGGAGGGAGGTGGTAAGGGGCCCTCCCATTTGGTCCTCCTCCTGCCTATAGGCTACATTGCTACACTGTAGGATTCAAAGTCTGCTACATAATAGGATTCAAGGGATAAATAATGTTTAGAACACTCAGTATTAGCTGTGAAACCCCCCTTGTCAGTCAGTCAGTCAGTCAGTAAACGGTGCCACCTAATGGCAAGACACAGACCGAGCCACATGTGTTCTTTCATGAGCCGTTAGACTTCTCAGAGGTTCATCATACTCCAGAGTTGTTGGGGAATAATCCCCAAAATACATGAGTAAGCATGTCTCCTGATGGATGCTGCCAACCTCCTAAAAGAGGTAAAAAATCATGGGGAGGAGGAGGTGAACATTCTTGGAGAGCCCCAAGCAGCTCTGAGCTCTTCCCAAGAGAGGAGCACACACGGCGGAGAGCAGGGGCCTGGGTGGTCTGCCGGGGTCTGCTCCTAATAGTCCTGAGAGGCCAGGTTGGGGGCTCTAGGCTCCGCAGCAGTGGGACACTTCAATAGAGGAATGACAGCGGGGCAAGGGGACAGCAGAACAAAACTCCAGAAGCCCACTGGGCCCACACAACTGCCAGGCAGACAGGGACAGCACGCCCTGCTCAGCCAGTGACAACACGGCACAGCCCCTCCAGGGTGCTCGGTGCCAGGCCCACCCCTGCAGGGTCACACTGAGTCCACAAACACCAACTCCTCTGCCAGTCTGCTCCAAGTGGCTGGAAGCCAGGCACAAACCCCTCAGCATGGCCTCTCCAAACACCATAAATACGGAGCCTTAAGGCCCTGCCCAGTAGGGCTCTGCCAATGGCCAGTGAGAAAGCCCACAGGTCCATGGGTCCACTAGCCATTTCTCTGCAACTTCCTGTGAACTTCTCACTATTTCAAAATACCAATTTTTAAAAAATGAGTTACAGAAGTGCTGTAACATAAAGTTGTAAAAAGTTCTCTGGAAGAATACACAGAGGTGGCCAGGTGTGGTGCCACATGCCTATAATCCCAGCATCTGGAAGGCTGAGACACGACTGCCGTGAGCTCGAGGCTAGCCTGAACTAACAAGACCCTTCTTAAGAAAAAAAAAAAGAAAGAAAAAAGAAAGATATAAAGAGGTGGAAAGGAGAGAGACAAAACTAGAGGAAAGAGATACGAATTATGAGAGGTCTAGAAAGACAGAACAAAGAAAGCAGAGAAAAGATGGCCAAACAATCTTAAAACGTTCCTAGAAGCAGAATATACAATTTCCTCACTGAAAGAGTCCACCAAGAGCACTTGACAGGAAATGAAAAAAAGCTACCCTCAAATTCCACTATAACAGTTGTAAAAACCCTGGCTTCATAAACTATGCACAAATAAATTCGAAAAAATAGAAATGCATAGCCGGTCCTGGTGTCACACGCCTGTGATCCCAGCACTCGGGAGGCTGAGGGAGGAGGATCGCCCTGAGTTAGAGGCCAACCTGGGCTACATAGTGAGTTCAAGCCCAATCTGAACTACATAGCAAGACCCTGTCTCAAAAAAGAAAAAAAAAAAAGCATAAAAAGGAAAATATAAAAGAGGGCAGAATCTCTTCTCTCCTGGAAACGGTAAGAGTAAAGATCGAAAGGGGATGCACGGCTAAAGAGGTGCGCTAAGAAAATTAAACACTTCCCCGGCAGACGCAGGAAGGCGCTGGGTTTCTGCTCCAGGAGTTGTCCCCACGCAGCAGGACCTGGAGGAAGGCAGGCAAGCAGGCGAGCGAAAGAGTGCGAGGCCGACCCGGGTCCCGGCGCGGCTTACCCGCGGGCTCGCACTGCAGGTGGTCGTCAGCCAGCTCATAGCCTGGCGCGCAGCTACAGCGGCGCGAGTCCCCCTCCGCCAGACAGTAGTGCGCGCAGCCGCCGTTGTCCGAGGAGCAGTTGCTGAAGCCCACCTCTGCGGGGATGCGAGTCAGCCAGGTGCAAGAGGCCCGGGCTCGTCCCAGGCCCCAGGCCCCAGGCCCCAGGCCCCAGGCCCCAGGCCCCAGGCCCTGCCCCTCACCGTTCTGGCAGAAGCGGCCCTCCCAGCCCTGGTTGCAGGCGCACGTGAAGCTGCCGAGGCCGTCCACGCACATGCCCCGCTCGCAGCAGGGGCTGGCGCACAGGTGCTCCGGCGGGAGGCTTTGGCACTGGTCACCGTCTGCGACACGTGGCGGGCGGGAGGTGGAGGTCAGCAGTCTCACCAGCTGCCTGCACGACCCACAGCACCTAGACAACTGAGGGGAGCCCGGCCAGGTGTAGAAGGCACTCACCGAAGTACGTGGACCAGAAGGCCAGCTGTGGGGAGAGGACGGGCGTCAGCGCCAGCCTGTGTGTGGACAGGCACCTCGCTGCTCCTGGCTGTGACCCAGGGCACGCGGCAGGGCGGGTCCAGCCAAACAGAGGTCACGGATTGATGGTCACTAGCAGCTACTGTGCCTTGCTCCCCTCCCCACCCCACCTCCACCCCACAGGCCATCAACAATACCCCTCTCATCCATGGTACCCCTGCAGCCCCACCCTGCTCGCAGGACCGTCCCCTCCTTCAGGGGCTTCTGTAGTGGCAGGCAGGGACCTCATCCCCACCAGTCTGCTCCGCCTCCTTGCAGCCCCCTCACTCCCTGCCCGCTTTTAGGGTCCGTTCATACATCTAGTCTTTCCCTAAGCCAGTGCTGCCAACTCGGAAAGTCTGGGTCGCCAGAGCCTTGTTTCTAACTAGGTTGCAGCTGCTTCTGCTGCTGGCTTTGACCTTCAGGCTAGAGAGCACCCAGGCCCCACCTCTGCTCTCCTAGACGGCTAGAGTTTGCTCCCCTGTGAATAGGGGCTGACGCACAGCATAAGTGTATGTGTGGACATACCTCAGAGCCTCTCGGTCACACCTGCCCTAGCCAGCACTGCAGGTGCACGGGTAGAAGCGGCATGTGGCCTTGGGATAAGCAGGCAGCAGTGGCTGCTGATGGCCAGACTGTCTTCCCTGCCAAACGGGCTGCTGGAAATCTCAGCATAGAGCTGTCACAAACTCTTTTTCCTGGCACTCACTGCAGAAGTCTGCTTCCTGTGCCCTGACCAAGACCATAAGACCAGCATCTCCTCAGCCACCCCAACGAGCTGGGAGGAAGATGGGCTGGTGCTGACCGACCCTGGGACTCTCAAGAGAGCCTCCAAAGTCAGCCCCCACCTGCTCATCCAGGCCCTAACCTCCTCACCCCTCACTGGAGCCTCATTCTCTGGGCCTAGCCAGTGGCCTTACTGTGGCATCCACGGTGCGGAAAATTTCCTTGGCTTCCTCAAAGTCACAGATCTCCTCGTGGCACTCGCGCTCCAGGTTGCCAGGACGGACCTCCTCCAAGAAGGCGTTGGCACGTTTGCGGATCCGCAGCACCTGGTGGGCACGCTGGCTGCTGGAGAACACTGCGTCTGGATTTAGGGGAGCGGAGCTCACTGTGGTGGACCACAGGGTCTCAGGAAGCCAGGCTGGGGACTGCCAGAGAGGCACTGTCTAGGGCCCCATGGGGCTCAGTCTCATTCCTGATAATGCTGCAGGTGCTCTGTCCCTCCACAGGATGCACATGACTATAGGACAGGAGCCTTGACTGCTCAGAGACAGACTCTCTGTGAGTCCTAGCCTGACTGTGTGACCTGGAGCCTGTGTTTCTATCTCTTTAAACCTCAGTTAACTCGTTCAGAAAATAGGGACACAATAACCATGTAAAACAATACAGTGTGTGGCATGGAAATAAGTATTCAGTGACAAATGCTACCTGCTGCTGCTGCCACTGCTGCTACCAAGACTGCAAAGTTAACTCAGTGTGTTGTTCTCCAGCACAGCAAGTACAATCCCTCCCTGACTTGTCACCAGACCCTCTCTCTCCTCCTTCCACAGTGTCCTTGGCCTGAAACACCTGGAAGACCGAGAGACCCAGCACCCAGTGTGCATCACCACATGTCTCCTGGGCTCTGGCAGGTGTCTGTCTTGGTGAGGGGACGCTAGGAGGGAGGGACCAAGTCAGGGTAGTGAGCAGGAGTGGTTGGAGGGAAGGGAGGAACTGTGCCCGAGCTGAGGTGGCCAGATGAAGTAGACTGAAGGTGTGGCGGGGCAGAGGGAGTGGGAAATGGCCTCTAGGCAGATCAGCAGCTCAGGAAAAGGCACAAATGCAGATTGTGGGTCCCTTGGTCCTCCCAGAGAAGCATGGCTGCCTCCTGTTGGCTGTGGATACCGATGGGCATTTTAGGTAAGACATTCAGACTGTGGTGGGTGAAGGCCTGGGCCCAAGCCCTTTACTGCTGAGGGAGTAAGTGGTGGCCTGGGAAGGCCCAGGGGACTCTGTGGCCCACCCCAAGCCTGCCGTCCCCTGGGTCTGCTGTCACAGCCCTTGGGTTGTGAGACGGGCCTTGCCAACCAATTTCTGCTTCCCTTGCTGCTCCTCATCTCACTGAAGCACAAAGGCAGGGGAAGGTGTGAAGGCCAAGGCTTCCAGAGCCCTGAAGATGCCTTGATATTTGAGGATCCCCTGAGGAGACTGCAGGGTATGGGAGGGTGGCCTTACCAGGAGGGACCGGTTTGCTGGAAATGCCCCAGGTGGCCAGGAACAGCAGCAAGCCTGCCAGCCGCCACATTCTGCCGTCGCTGACTTTGTCGCTGACGCCTGTCTGAGGAGGACGTCTGAGCTTCTGGCAGCCCCCAGCCCTCAGTGCTCTGCCCGAAGCCTTCTAGGAGGAAGCTGAATACAGGGGGCCCTATGTGCCCGTGGTCAGGACACATGGTGCACAGCCTGTGGACTGTGGCACTTAGGCCTAGGGAATGCCAACCAGTGCTGGGGCCTGGTGGCAGGGGCCTCGCTTCTTCGACCCCAAGCTTCAAGGAGTCCACATCCATGGGGTGTGCCCTTCTTACCCTCTCACGCCCCTCCCTCCACACCCCTCCATCCTGCCCGAGGGGACTTACAGGGGTGGGCCCTGGAGAGACGGCAAGTCTGCCTTTCTGCTGCCATGATGGCCCGGAACACGGTTAATCCATAACTAGTACAAGGCCACCCTCTCCCCAGAAAAACAAACAAATGGTGCTGACACTCTGGTCCTGGCCCCTCACACCCAGGTCATCAGAGCTCAGCCCTGGCCACAAGGGTGCTGTCCAGGGGTGGAATGTGGGGTGTGGCTGGCACCCTTAAAACCCTTGACAGATGTGATCTCTTTTCACCTCAGAGTGGCTGGCTAAGGGAGGGATGCTTTAATGCAAAATGCTGCAGTTTGTCTATAATCAACACAACAAATATCATATTTCATCAAATTCAGGGTTTATGTGCCGCTATAAAAGAAAAAGACAGTCCATCATACCATGACAGTGTCTCCTCTCTCTCTCTCCTCCCTGTGGCAGGGGTGGAATCCAGGTAATGCTGAGCTACATCCCCAGCCCTTTTTCCTTTCTCCTCCCCTCCCGCTTCCTTTCTTTCAACAGGATCTGGCTAAACTGCCCAGGCTGGCCTTGAACTTGGGATCCTCCTGCCTCAGGCTCAGAGGTGGCTGGGATCACAGGTATGTGCCACCACAACTGTCTTCATGCATGACAATTTCCTCTGGGATACCGGCTATGTTACCAGGGTTTGGGGTGCTGGGGCCTCCTTCTAGAGGTGGTTTCTAGGTTCTTCCTGAGCAAAGAACTGGTCCAGACACGGGCAAAAGGTGGCAAGTGTGGTTTTACACTGATTAAGGAAACATGCTCTGCAGAGCGCATTTGGGTCAAATAAAAATAAGAAAACAAGCTGCTTTGCGCACACGTGAGAAAGAGAAACAGGACTGTGGAAAGGCTGCGGGCACTTCCTAGCCAGGTGTCAGAAAGGAAGCGGGCAGAAGTAAAGGCCCGGCTCAGACGGAGCCCTGGGGTGCCCCAAGGTCAGGGCGGCTTCGCTAAGCATCTCTCTTCCCAGGAGGCCGCTCCCAGGGCCGCCCACACTTCTCCCTGCCCGGCCCCCTCCACAGGACTCGACCCTGCAGCCCCTCCGAGGCTGGGCCCAGCGTGCCGCGTGCCTACGCCGCTGGCCGCCCGCGACCGCACAAGGAAGTCACCTGACCCGGAAGTCCCGGCCTGTGCCGGCCTCCCGCCCTCCGTCTGCGGTGCCAGCCGGTGTCAGAAGAGTTCGAAGCCAGGGTCCGGTGGCCTTCTGTCCCATGGGGAGGGAAGGAGGCGGCGCAGAAGGCGGCTTGGGGACAGGCCTGGGGCCGGGGGCGAGGCGGGGAGCGGGGGAGCCGAG